TCCATTTGTATGAAGTACCTGGACTAGTCAAATTTATAGACAGCAGGTCTGCATCAGAGGCCAGGGAAGGGGAAAAATAGCCGAGTTATTTTTTAATGGATATGGAGTTTCTGTTTGGGGTGGTAAAAAAGCTCTAGTAGATGGTGGTGACAGTTGTTGAACACTGTGAATAGACCTACTGCCACTGAAAGTAAGCTTAAAAATGATTAAAGTGATGACTTTAATTGTGTATCTTTTGCCACAGCTTTATAAAAGCCTCTAAAAAAATCATGTTTATGTACATTATATGTAAGTTTTATTATGTGTGGTTCCTATTTAAACCACAGTCTCTTTAGACCAAAGGGCACGTTTAACTCGAGCAACTGAGAAATGTAGTTGAAGTTGACCTGGATTCAGGGGCCTGGTGTTCCCCCACATCTATTTCTTCTCTCAGAACAGATTCTCTGTAGGTCGAGGTCTTTCCAGGAGGGTGTCTGTATGATAGGGGGAAATGACCATAGGTGTCTTCAGGTTTACAGAAGTCAGCGACCTGCTTCCTTAAGAGGTCAGATAGTACATATTTTATTTATTTTGTTTCTTTTTTTGTTTTTAGTGTTGGTGATTGAACTCGGAATCTTGCACTTGTGAGGCAGATGGCAGCACCACTGAGCTAATCTCCCAGCCCCAGATAGTACATATTTTAGACTTTATACGCTATGTGTGGTCCATTATAACTACTCAGCTCTACTGTTAGCAGGAAGGCAGCCCCAGATGATACATGAGCAAATGGGTGTGAATGTGTTCTAGTAAAACTTAACTACAAAAATGTGCTGTTAGATGGGCCTGGTGGCACATACTTGGAATCCCAGTACTCGGGAAGCTGAGGCAGGAGTGTTGCTGTGAGTCTGAGGCCAGCATAAACTATGACGAGACCCTGTCTCAAAAAAAAAAAAAGAAAAAAAAAGTGCTGGGACAAATCCTGACCATAGTTTTCCATCAGTTCCAGAAAGGCAACCAGGCCTTGTCTTCCAGTGGTCCAGGTAGAAGTTGCATGAAGGAGACGGTGTTCTAGGGCTGGGGCCAGTGTGAGGCCAGTGAGATTTCTTTTTGGCCACAAAATTTAAGGGGTAGCAAAAACCTCAGCAATCAAGATACATAACATTTTCATGTAATATTAAAATGATCAAAATTAGTGCAAAAACTCTATAATGAACAGAACATGAATAGGGTCAGGTTGAGTTGTGCACCCTGCTGTGGCCTGGTAACTGACATTGCAGGGGAGGAAGAGGGAGATCTAGTGCTGAAGGCTGCTTCTCAAGGCACTGAATGGGATGTTTCCTATGGGAAGCAGAGGTGCTGTCACCAGAAGAAAGAGGAAGGGACGCTGCTTGCTTGTCTTGTGCCTGGGCTTTTACTTTAGATGTTACAATGATTTGAAAAGCTATTTACCATGGAATGCCTTTTACATGAAGATAAGTAAATTACGGCTGACATGCAGCATTTATTGGATACACATCATGTGTATTCTTATTTTCTCATTTTCCCATGATAAGAATACCTCGAGGTAAACATTGTAATCCCCATTGTATAGAGGAGGAAAATAGAGGACAAGGTAAGTCACCCATGGTCGCACAATGCCTCCACTACAATTTGAACCAAGGTGTTCGTCTTTCTTCTAATCTCCACAGTGTGAATTCTTGGCATTGTCAGTGGAAGCTGAGGCCCCTTGGAAACTTTGCCAAGAGCCAGTGCTCTTAGTCATCCTCTGTTGACAAGGGCCCGTACATAGTTCTCTTCAGCACCCCAGTCCTTGCGCCTGTTCTTGTTGGCATTCAGCTTTGGGTGTTCTGAGAACCAGGCGCCCTTGCATGCCTTTTGGAACTTATCCCACGTTGCAGAGCTGATTGGTGTATATTCCCAAGTTAAATTACGGACATTGCCTGCTTTAACTGGCAGGTGAGCTGCACTTTAAATAGACCATGTTAATTTTGATGGTAGAAGGAGAAACCTGCTGGGATAATTCTTAGCCTCATCAGCATCACACCAGACAAGCTTTAAAAGGATTCGATTGCAGTAAGCAATTTGCAAAATTGAAAAGTGAAAACACTGTAAAGTGTTCATGTGCATTCAGTGTTAGAGGGAGGTGACTGCATTTTTAAAGAAATGCAGGGTGCAAGTGAGAGAGTTGCTTGATCTGAAATGTGATGGAAATGCAGGTGGCTGTCTGCGTATTTCAAAACACATTATTGGCTGTTAGCTCAGGGCATTAAGCTCTCCCCAAATTCTGCTGTCCATTTGAAAGAGGTGGAGACTGGGAATAAAGCTGTTTTGTACAAAGTTTTGTGTGGTTTGGACTGACCTGATCAGTTCTGGAAGAGGATTAATTTCACATGTGAAGGTTGAGACAGGACACAGTTCTGAGAGAACTGCCCCATTGGTGGTTTTGTCAGCTGTCCTAGGAAGTTTATTCTAAAGAGTCCCAAAGGGTAGCTGGATCCACAAATGTATACACACACTCATACATACATATGTACATTGAGAAATGTTACCACAAAAGAGGAAACCACAGAAATGTCCTCCTCTGGGGAGGTAATTATTAAGCTCACGGTGGTTGATCATCATAAGCTGGGCATTATGCTCAGCCCTGTACCTCCTTGTTCTCCAGTTACGCCAGTAACCCTGGCACATCTGTACTTTGGTGCCTATGGGAGAGCTATCCTAGTTGAGTGATTTGCCCAGAGACATTCAGCTGAACAACCACTTCACCAGTTTGTCCTGCCTACCAGGCTGGAAGCACAATAAGGGATGAATCCTTGTTGTTACGTGGTTTCCGGGGCTAGCTCGATTCAAGGTTCACAGGAAGAACACAGTCAGCCCTCGTTCAGATGACGTGAAATAGTACAGGGAGTATTTTAACCTGGTGCCAGTTTATGGAGCTGTGTATGTTTGCATTCTTCTGGGAGGAAGGTTCAGAGGCTATCACATTCTCAAAGGGACCTGTGGACTTGTTTAGCTCATGGGCTGGAAACTCGGTCTAGCAGTAGAGACTCAGCTTTTCCCCTTTTGGATTATTAAGCATTTATGCTGCTTTTTTTTTTCTGGTTAAAAGCACTTTATTGATTATGCAATTATGCTTCTTAAGAAAAAAATTTAAATATTTGCAATATGTAATAGTGACATTGATTTCAGGGAATTGGTACATGCGTGTAACATGTCTATTTTTGATCCCATGTCCCAAAATTCTGCTTTCTTTGAACATGCTCATTTTGAAGAAGATGGAGTTTCCTTATTACATACGCAGAACGTGTTTGGTGGTTTGCACTTACCTCAGAGCTTGTCTTCAGCCGTACCACTTACTAACCGTGTACAGAATTGTTGTTTGTGCTCTTTACCTGTCCAGGCCTGATCATTGACGTGGAGGTGGTCTTGGTTGTTTGGAGGTCACATGTACAATGTTAGGTGAGATGGCTGGATATAACTGGAGCTAAAACTCAATAAATTGCAGCTACTGCTGCTGCCCTTATTTTTGGCAGCATGAAAAAGAGCTGATGAGCCAATGTTAAGAGAAAAAAATAGGTATACAAAATTAGGTATAGACTAGAGTTACAACTGTGGGGAAAAAAACTGTGCATGTGGATAAGATTTGAGGAGACTGTAAGTAAAGAATATTTTATAAGGGCTTTTAAAAAAGATAAATGAACCTGATGTTGGCAAAAAAAGAAAAAGAATGAGTATTTTATGAACACATATTAACAAACTCTTAAGCTTTCTTTTATAGCCTCAGGTCTGTTCTTACTCTTAGACTTAGGAATTCAGCCTATGAAAATCTCTTTTGAGGAGCTAGAAATGAGAACAATTATTTATGCATAAACAATTTGCTTTATAGAGGGAATATTGGCAGTTATCATATTACTTGTAACAGAAATAGCTATATTATGTTTCACTAGGAAGCTTTAAAAATCATGTTTGAAGACTTTTTTGTTTTGTTTTTTGCTTTTTGAGACAAGGTCTTGCTATTCAGGCTAGGCTGGCCTTGAATTCCTGATCCTCCTGCCTCAGACTCCCAAGTACTGGGGTTACATGTATGTGCCTGGAGTCTTTTAAGTGTAGTAGAAAATGTTCATACTCTAGACCAAAAGTGAACCAGGATACAGCATTTAATACACATACATATAAATCATTCAGTACGATGCACTGTTTTTTATGGCTGATCCAATAAATTACTACAGAGTTGATGGCTCTTTATTTTTGAGAAGCAATCTTGCTTTTTTCCCAGACTGGCTTTGAACCACTGGGCTTCAGTGATCCTCCTGCCTCAACCTTCTGAGCAGCTGGAACAGTAGGTTGGTGCCACTGCGCCTGGCTTTCAAAAGCACAGATTTATTCTCTTCAGTTCAAGGTCAGTTTTGCTGGGTTAGGAGTAGGCTGGCTCCTTATTCTATGGAGAATGGAGGCTGCAGAGTAGAATGCATTCCTGCCTCTTTCAGCGTTTAGTGGCTGCCAGCATTCTTTGGCTGTGGCCACATCATTCTAATCTTTGCTTCCTTGATCACACCGCCTCTTCCTCTTCTGAATCAGACTACTCTGTCTCCTTATAAAGATATTTGTCACTATATGGAACCACAGGGATTAGCCAAGATAATCTTCCCATTTCCATATTCCTAATTTAACCACAATTACTAAGGCTCTTTTGCTGTGTTAAGTACCATTCATAGCTTCCAAAGATAAGACGATATTTTTGGGAACCATAATTCAGCCTGTTGCAAATGTTGAGTTTTGTATAAGAAAGGAAAACAGGGAAACAGACTGCAAGGAAATTATTGAACATGTTAGCAACAATGGTACTCTCTGTATGGCATGTTGTGGAGTCATTTTTAGTTTTGAATATTTCTGTGTATCTCCCACCTTCTCTACGCTAAGGGAGTAGCATTTTTCCAACCCAAAACATTGCCTGGGAACCATTGCGCTAAAACGATGAGCGTTTCAGGCCCAGTGACATGGCGGGTGCCCTCTCTCCCCAGAGCCCGTGTTCTGGTACTATGTGAAGGAGGTCCTCAACAAGCACGAGCTGCAGCGCTTCTACTCCCTGCGCCACATCGCCTCGGACGTGGGCCGGGGCCGGGCCTGGCTGCGCTGCGCCCTCAACGAGCACTCCCTGGAGCGCTACCTGCACATGCTCCTCGCCGACCACAGCAGGCTCAGGTACCCCTCGGGACGGGTTCTTGGGAGGAATGCGGTGGAGTCCAGGGCTAAAGATGGCAGAGACTAGAGTCACCTCTTGGATTTGCAGCCCACTCCTGACCCTGGCTCCCACCCTAAAGCTCTAGTCTGTCAGCTGTGTGGTGGGACAGTTGGTGGAGAATCAGTGTGAATGTCCGTGAAGGGCTCTGCGTGCTGTCCACACACAGCAACACTCAGTCAATGCTTATTGTTATCCAGGGTTTGGGTGTGGAGAGAGCTGTTTTCTTAGCCTGCTCTTCTTCACTTCATGGAATTTTAATTTGAGATTGTTTTCTGCACTCAATCCTGAGATGACTGCAAAAAAGATAGGGAAGTTTTAAGTTAGGGAAGGAAGTCTTTTGTTTTATTAAAAGCTTTGTTTTTTCCTTGGTAATAAACATGAAATTCATTTTCAGTATAGATCAGTAACAAAAACTCAAATCTCAGTGGAGTGAGACAAGTTTATTTCCTGTACTGAACTGAATGTCTGTCATGACAGAGTGTTCGTGCTCAGGGATTCAGGATTACCAAAGGCTCTTCTTCTGCATATATTTCATTTATGAGACCTGTGTAGAGCCAAGGTAGGGAGAGGAGGTATAGTTGAACTAAGCCCTGGTGGTAAGGCTTCTCCTCAGAGACACTTCCACTCCTGTCTCATTGACCAGGGCAAGGCACATGGCCACACATTTCCAGAGCGGGGCTCCTCCAGACCTTTTGAATCTGTAGAATCCATCTTTTTAACATCTGAGGCCCATGCCTAGCAGTTGACTGATATCCAATATAAACTTGAAAAATTATTCTCCGTAGCCAGCTTGTTTTTCAAGCTTGGCAGGATGGAAGGCATAGTTAACCCATAGCAGTGGCTCTGAGTAGGAGCCAATGTAGTCAGCCCCATTTCCTTAAAAACAGTTCAAAATGCTATAGAACCCACTGATATAAAACTTTAAATCACTCATAATTTATACAGAGCTAGCTCTAACATGTTGGCATTTCTTCCTTTTTTTAAAAAAATTCATTCATTTTTAGGTTTCTCTGCTTTGACTCTGGCTATTATTACTTTTCCACTGAGAATGGTAGACTGGATATGTTTTATTTCACCCAGTCCTGCCCTGGTTCCTTGAATAACTTTAATATCAGCAGTGTCCGGGTCCTTAGTATTAGGATTTCATGTAATTCAATAATCTGGCTTTTTTTTTTGGGTACCAGGGTTGAAATTGGGTCCATGAGCTTGCAAGGCAGGCGGTGGAACCACTGACCTAAATCCCTGGTCCTACAGTCTGGCATTTTATCAGCACTTTGATGCAATCACTTGATTTTGTATCCTGCCAGGTGTTTCCTGCAACAGGTCTCCCCTGTTGCTTGTATTGCTGTAGTCACTACTCTACCAGGAATTCTTTGCTTGGTTGTTCTGGAATCAGGTATTAGGGATCTTAAAAATACCCTTGAGGAGGAAGAAAAGAAAACCAACACTTGAGGTTCTCCCATTGATGTTGCCTGTGATGCCTCATCCGGATGTGTGCTCAGACCCCGTTGCTCTGAAGTGGGCAGGTTTGGGAGCCAGGATGGCTGACATTGAGCACCCGTGAGCTGCTCAGGGCCAGAGTCAGGAGGCTGAGAAAAGTCTGTATGTCTGAGCACTAATCTACTTTAGTTAAGGTGAGCACTTTCAGATTTCTTAAAATGCATTTTTGTGAAGCACTTTCCAGCAAGTTGTTTGTAAATAATTCAGAGTTGCATCCTCAGTACCAAAGTTGAGTTTCACAATAAATCACAGTTAAGAAATCTAATGGAACTTTCCTGAATTTACTAGCCACTTACCTAACTAAAAGTGGGTAAACCAAATTCAGCAGGCATGAAAACTGGCTCATATATTCAAAGGGTCACAATGGTGAGAGTCAGATACAGTTGAAATGCCAGCTTGATCTTATGGTTTTTGCTTCCACTAACATTTTCCTGGGTAAGTATATTGGAAATGACATCTCTTCTCTCTTTCTGTTTGTTTTAATAAAGTTGCATCAGCAGCTAATTTTTTCCAATCTCACTGAAAAACAGGCCATTCGTCACTCATTTGACTAGTAAAATTGAGCTTTGACTCCATCAATGTAGAATTCTTCGAGCTGGTGGGGAAGTCATGGCTTTAAGGATATTTGGTTGTTATTGCTTAACAGGGAGCCATATAAAGAGCTTCGAAATTGGACTTGGGAGACATACTTTTAAGCCCTGATTGTGGTATTTATTGGCTGGGTAACTTTGGATGGGTCTTACAGGCTTTCCTGACATCCCCTTTACCTCCACCCCAAATGCTATTTGGGTTCATGGGGCTTTTTAAGCGTCCCCGTCTTTTTTAGGGATGATTTGAGCTTTTGGGTTTGTAGCCCAGTCAGGTACTATGAATGAATGCTATAGTTGGTGGAGCCCTGGTGCTCTCTAATTTCTTTTTGAAATTATCTCTTCTAACCACATCAGGTGAGCTCTGTTGGCCAGCTTGGATTTCCTGTTTGTCTCTTGGGGATGTTGCTTGAGTGGGAGTCACCCCTATGTTCTCTTACTTCACTGTCTTATAAATACATTTACATATGTCTATTTCGGTACTGTAAACCCCAGAGGTCTCAGAGGAATAGTGAGGAAGTCCTAGGATATATTCGTTCAGACCTTTGTGTTTAATCAGAAGCTTCAAACCAGCAGAGACCTACCTCAGGCATAGTGTTTCTTGTCTGAGATGACTGACTAGTCGCAGATTTTCCGAGGAACTTTCTAATGGAATTGTCTAGGTAATGGATCCAGAGAACTATTAAAAATGTTTTCCTTTTCTTTCACTTTGCAGCACTTTTTATGAAGACTGGTCTTTTGTGATGGATGAAGAAAGGTCTAGCATGCTTCCTACCATGGCAGCTGGTAAGCCTGGCCAAGGCCAGGGGTCCTGGGAAACTTGGTCAACAGAAGGGCAGCCTGGGAGTGGATTTATAGCCCCAAGGGACGCTGTGGTTTTCTCTGTCCTGCACAACTTAATGAGCCACTCACCACTGTGCTTCTTTTAGTGTCTTGAGAGTCTGATACCTTTATCTAGAATTTGATACCTCAGAAGACAAAGCATGAAGTTCAAGGGATTTGGCTGTGGCTTGGTGTAGGAATAATATAAAGAGCCAGGAGATTAGAGATAGGAGACTTCATTGAATGCTGGCTCTACCCCTTGCTGGCAGATCCCACCTCACTTTTTTATACCTTGGCTTTCCTCTTCTGTGAAATAGGAATACTGATATTTCTCTAGCCACCCTTTTAGGATTATAAGAGAGTCATGTGAAGTTAAGGGTTATGTACATGATATGTCAGCGTGAAAGCCCTAGATTGATGTGACTTGGTGGACTCCTAAATTATTTGGTATTTGACTTTCACAGGATGAAAGATGGAATCAGCCAGATGAAAGTGGGCAGCTTTTATCTTTCTTGGAAATTATTTGTTGCTTCCTTTTTATTTTTCTCTTAAAAGTGTACACTAAGTCCCACATATTGAGGACTATGTTAGCCTTATCTGGGGATGAGAAAAAGCCACAGTTTGACTGTGATTTCCTTTGTAGTCTGTAGTAACCAGTGTAAGTTTTTGCCTAAAGTGATTATAGTGTTATTATTGATACATGTTTTAATTACTAATTGAGCTGATGTTTCTGATAGGTGATTGTTTTTTAATACATAAAACCTTGTAAAGGAGACAATATTGCCCCCATTTTACAGCTAAGGAGACTGAAACCCAGGGAGATTATAAGCTGCTTGCCCAAGATTTTAAATTGGTAAATGGCAGTGCTGGGGTTCACCCTTGGCAATCTGACCTCACAGATTGTGCCTTCACCTGACCCTAAGTGAGGTATTTGTCTTCCTAACTGTAGGGAGGGAATCTGGAAGGATTCAGTTCACGTGATACCTGGTGTCTACTGACCTGTTTTGTGGAAGGTTTTATAAATGTTTGAGGATCAGTGCATATTCCCTTGTGTCTTGTGTTATCTGTGCCCTGTTTCTCCTGATGAAGGTGTATTTGCTCAACAGCAAACACTCCAGACTTTCCCTTTCTTTGGGCAGGTCTGAACTCCATACTTTTTGCCATTAACATTGACAACAAGGATTTGAATGGGCAGAGTAAGTTTGCTCCCACTGTCTCCGACCTCTTAAAGGAGTCAACGCAGAATGTGACCTCCTTGCTGAAGGAATCAACGCAAGGAGTGAGCAGTCTTCTCAGGGAGATCACGGCCTCCTCCGCTGTCTCCATCCTCATCAAACCTGAGCAGGAGACCGACCCCCTGCCTGTCATGTCTAAGAACGTCAGTGCTGGTGAGCAAGGACAGGTGCTTGGGTCACACAGGGGTAGGTTAAAGGAAGAGCAGGGTGTGGCTGAGGGGGATGCCCTCATCTCCTGAAAGTCATTCCAATAGCAAGGAAGTCTAGCACTTGCACCTTCATTGACGTTTGTATTTATTTTTCTTATTCTTAATCACTCCAAAGGAAATCAGACTGTCTTACCTAGATGTGAAAATAATGGAAAAAAAAAAAGCAAACAGTTCAGTCAGGGAAAACCGTGAGTGATGGATGATAGCCATAGAAGTCCATATAGATTGATCCTTAGTCATTTATTCTTTCATTGTGTTCCATGTGCTTGCAAGTAGTCAGACTGCCAGCATTTACCTCACTGTCTTCTTTGAGCTGGGTGAGGGAAGATATGTAAAGACAAATTATGCAAATAACCTATTTTCCTTGTGTAAGTATAGCTGGGCATAGGGTGCTTTGGAGAATAAATGCTATTGGACTTGTCTTTGCTGGGGGATGACATTTAAGCAGAGACACAAAGGAAGAGGTAGCAGCTTTGACACTAGATTGTGGGGAGGCAAAAGAAAGTTGGTTCAAGTAAGAAGCAAGCAAGCAAGTTTATAGTTCCCTTGAGCATTTGGAGATACTTGGTATTTGGTATAGGAGAATGGGAAATTTTGGGTTTAAGTACTAGTCTGCGTATTCCCAAGCCCCCTAAGGCAGTATTCGTGGCCTCCTTTTGGAATTACTATTTTTTTCATTTTATATTTTGGGCCTCTTACTTTTCTTTTTTCTAACTTTAATTTTTATTAAAATTAAATTTATTAAGTACACGTTTGCAGTAAATAATAATTCAAACATTGAGGGGAGTTGGTACCTATATTAACACATCTTAATGTTTGGGATTATTAATGGCAGTGAAAACTCAGAATGCTACGGGCTATCTAGTACCCAGAGATGTGTTTGTCTTGCTCTCTCCTTCTAGAGCAGAGATCCCATATAAATGATGTAGGAAGCCAGATGGTTGAGGTAACAAAGACACTGACATCTAGGTATCTAAAGGACTACCAGTCTTAACCATTTTGGAACTGGTTTTTTGCAGGTATCTCAGAATTGTGCTTCACTGGTGAGACACCATTAGGCTATGCTTTGGTTTGTAGCCATTGGAGTTTTGGGAAGTGGCTTAATGTGTCTCACATGTGAGCTTGGTGATTAAGAGAGGTGAACAGTGGTCTCAGCTTAGTTCTGATCCCTAAGGCAGTCTTGATTTCTGTTTAGCCTTCACCACATAACAAATGACAACAAAATGTAGTGGCTTACACCCACCACATGTCACTAGTTTTGTTTTGTTTTTTTTGGGTGGCACTAAGAATTGAATTCAGGGCCTCATGTATGCTAGGAAAGAGTTCTGTCACTGACCTACATCCCCAGCCCAGAACATCATCAATTTTTAAATAACTCCCTGACTTGGCATGGTGGTACTCTTGCTGGTTTCCTTCTGGCTCACTCATGGGACTTCATTCAGTTGGTGGCTACGTTGACAATATAGGAAGATCTGACTCATGTGCCTAAAATTACACTGGGGCCTCAGCGGTGCACATGGCTCTCTCTTCCAGTGAGCCAGGCTAGCTCCGTTAGGGAGTGGTGTCAGGCAGTAGTTCAGGAGGGCAGGGGCAGAAGCTGTGAGGCCTCATGATCCCTGGGATCTAGAATGCACTGTTACTCTTGCCATATTTCATTGGTAAGAGCAGGATGTAGCACCAGCCCGGATTCAAGGGGATGCAGACACAGATGCCCCTTGGATGGGGGAGCAACACAGTGCCATTGTGAGGGGCTTGGTATGGCAGTGGGAGGGCTGTGTGGCCATGGAACAGGAGGCTGCAACCTCCAGACTATTTTCTTACCTCATCTACCAGCCATGAGTATTTTCTGTAGTGGAACAACAAAAATCACTTCAGTAATGGTAACACCCTTTGAATCAAGTTGACTATAAGAAGAAACAATATTGACTTATGTCCTGTGTGGTTTATTTAAACCAGAGGTAGAGGCCCATATCCATTTTGCTTCTGTAGAGATATTTAGGGTTTAGAAAAATTGGGATGTGTCTTACGGTTTATTTCTCCATAGAATACTAGGGGATTTTCCATCACTTAGAGGTGAGTTGGCTCAGCCATTTTCTGACTTGCTTTTTCTTCTGTCCTATCTTTTCTTTTGCTAGATGCCAAAGGTAAAAAGGAGAGGAAGAAGAAAAAGAAAGTGACCAACATTATCTCATTTGATGATGAGGAAGATGAGCAGAACTCTGGGGACGTTTTTAAAAAGATACCTGGGGCTGGGGAGAGCTCCGAGGAAAACTCAGACCGCTCCTCGGTCAACATCGTGCCAACCTTCGAAGGCCCCTTTGGGCCAAATTCCAACGGAAGCCAGAGCAGCAGCTCCTGGAAAATCGATTCTTTGTCTTTGAATGGGGAGTTTGGGTACCCAAAACTTGATGTGAAAAGCATCGATGATGAAGACGTAGATGAAAATGAGGACGATGTGTATGGGAGCTCCCTGGGAGGGAAGCACGTAGGCCCCTCAGGGTCACCGGAGAAGTAAGTTCCGCTTGAGCTTTTAACGAGTGGAGTTACATGAACCACTTTCTCCTTCTGTGGTTGTGGGTGAGATAGGAGTGTGAGTTTTAGATTTGTCTAGGGCATTGTTCATTTTTCATGTCTTCGGCAGGAGGGACTGTTAGCCTGCCATTCTCCTCAGAACTAAGAGAGGGCAAGAGAACATATGTGAAGGCATTTAAGGGTCAAGTTGTGTACCTTGAAGTTCTTGCTTTGTCCAAATGCCTTTTTCCCTCGCATCTCTAACTTAGCTCCAGTATAGGAAGCTCAGGAGGAAGATAGGGTTAGTCTAGAGAATAATTACAGTGGTGATTCCTGTGTGTGTCTTCAGAGATATGGATAGCAGCAACTTGCCTGCACTTACTATCTTAACCCTAGAGTTGTGATAGATTTTAAACCTTGGAGGGGTCTTGGTGCAGGTAAAGGCGTCAAATAGAAAGCATAGTTAATAACAATGATGGACCTTAGAGTCCAGATAAACTGGATTTTTGTTTTCTTGCTATGTGACTTTACTTGGACTGGGAAAATTGCTTTTACCTCCTAGAGCTTCTGGCCCTAGATGACACCTGTTTGGATAACAGTACCTGCTCGTAAGGGTGTTGTGGAATCAGTGAGATTCTTCACATGGTGTGTTTGGATAGGGGCTGGCACATTGTTTGTTGCAACTCAGGACTGCTGTTGCTGCTGTTGTACTGCTCTTATTATTGCTCTGTTTTTTTTGTTTTTTTGAGGCAGGTTCTCACTATATAGTTTAGGCTAGCCTTGGCCATGTGGTGATCCTCCTGCCTCAGCCTCCTGAATGTTGGGGTTATAGGTGTGCACAATCACACCTGGCTTTTTGTTATAATTCTTTTTTATTTTTATTTTTTTGGTACTGGGGAGCAAACTCAGGACCTGCTTGTGAGGCAGGTGGCAGCACCACTGAGCTAAATCCCTGGCCCTTCTTGTTATAATTCTTATGCTTAGTCTTCTTTTTTTCACACAGGCCAGTTACATCTTCACCTAGGCTTTTTTTTTTGTTTTTGTTTTTTTGAGACAGGGTCTCACTATGTAGTTGAGACTGACCTGGAACTCACTATGTAGCCCAGGTTGGTCTCGAACTCACAGCACTCCTCCTGTCTCAGCCTCCCGAGTGCTGGGATTACAGGCATGTGCCACCATACCCGGCAAACTAAATGCTCTTTTTTTTTTTTGGTACCGGGGATCGAACTCAGGTCCTTGTGCTTGCAAGGCAGGTGGCGGAACCACTGAGCTAAATCCCCGGCCCTCACCTAAGCTTTTGAGTATGCAATGCCATTCTGTGCCTGATGCTGTAGTCTCGACCTTAAAGTGTGAAGGGAATCCATATAAATGCACTTTTCTGTGTGGCCAAAAATATCACGGTGTTACTTAGGCACTCAGTATGCCTCTAGCCCTAAGCTTTTTATTTTCATATTAGGTTTTTACTTTCTCATGAAATTTTTCTTATTTTTTGCTTTTTATTTTTGCTGTTGTCCTTATTCACACGAACAGTACATGTGTTGGTAGTGTCACCTCATCACAGTCTTACCTTTGATGTCCCTGATGTTGCCGTAGTGTAATACCCACAACAGCACCGTGAGGTGAGTAGGTATCGCTCCTAACTTACAGGTGAGAGAACAGGAGTCCATAGGTTTGAGATTTGCCAAAGCACTTGGCACAGCTGGGGCTTAGGTTCGTCTGTGCTGTATCCAAAGCTTATACTGTAAAATATTTTCCATGATTTTATATATGAGAATTATGTAATTATGGATATCATTTGGTTGTTATGATGATTGATATGATGGTCAGCTTAACTGGGTCGTGTCGTACCCAGATTAAACATTATTTCTATTGTTTGTGGGGAAGTTCTGGATGAGATTAGCATTTGAACGGTTGCGCTTGATGCCTTCCCCAGTGTAGGGGGCATCCAGTCCCTTGAAAGCCTGAATAAACAGAGACTGGAGGAAAGGAAGAATTATTTCCTTTCGGCCTGCGGGCTTGCGCTGGGACATTGGCCTGCTGCTGCCCTTGGACTGTATCTTAGTTACTTTCTTGTTGCTGAGACCCAATACCTGACACAACTTCAGAAGGAAAGTTTTATTTTAGTTCACAGGCTGACTCTAAGGCAGCACAGCATGGCAGAGGCGTTTTTCTCATGGCATGGCAGGCAAGAAGGAGAGAGGGATCAAGGGAGGAGAGGGGAGAGAGGAGAGGGAGACCCTTCCAGGACACTCCTCTGGTGACCCGCTTCTTCCACCAGGCCTCACCTCACAGTGTCACACCCAGCTGTAAACTCATCAGTGGGCTAATCCAAGACAAGTATCACGCCCCCATGACCCAGTCTCCTCCCAAAAGCCCCAACTATGAGCACAGGAGGTTTTGGGGGTACATCTACACATCAGGTAAACTGGGATTGGCATCATCTGCTCCCCTGGTTCTTGGGCTTCAAACCTGCATTAAATTACCTTACCAGCTTTCCTGGGTCTCCAGTTTGCAGACTGTGAATTGTGGAACTTCCTGCCCTCCAAAATCATTGTAAACCCAATCCTTATTATAAGTCTGCATTTTTATCTGTACCTAGTTGTACACATCCCCTGTGGTTTCCCTGCAGAACCCTGACTAATACAGTTGTTATTTGTCAGGTCAGTATGCCATGATTTGCTAAAGGCTTCCGCATCCGTGAGAAGTTAGGTAGTTGCTCTTTTTGGTTTGTTGTTATTAGAAATTCAGAAATGAACATGAACAAGGGTGTTTTCTACTGCTAAATAATATAATAGGATAGCTTTCAATAGTGTTGTTCCGTCTCAGAGGCTGTGAATGTTTTTGTGCCTGGGAACTAGGTCTTGTGACCTGCTGAATTACTCAGCGTTCTCCAGAGGAACAGAACTAGTTGGGGGAGGAGGAAGAGAGGAGGAGATATTGAGAGCTTCTGCTTCTGCTTCCCTCTCTCCCTTACCATGTTCTCTCGGCCTCTTCCTTTGTCTCTGTCTCTTTTCTCCTGATTTCCTTTAAGGAGCTGGCTCCTAGGATTGTGAAGGCCGGCAAGTCCAGTCCGCAGGGTAGGTCGGTAGGCTGGGAACTCCGGAGGAACAGAGGCGTTCTGCCGGCAGAGCTGCTTCCCTTGGGGCAGTCTTTTTCCTTTTGAAACCTTCCACTGGTTGGATGAAGCCCGGCCACTTATGCTGGATAATCTGCTTTACTCAAACACAATCTAATGATTTAAGCATCAATGTTGACTAAAATGTACCTTCATAGAAACACCTGCAATATTTGGCTGAATATTTGGGTAATGTCGCATAGCCAAGTTGACCCATGCATTTAGCTCTCACAACTACCTTTAGTTCTTCTGAGCCTTTTAGGAAATAGCACTCGCGTTCTCTGTAGCTGAGTGCCTCTGAATTGAATCACGCCATGGGTTCTGTGGCCTTAAACAGACTCATTCCTTTTCCTGCCCTGCTGGTTTCATTCAGTGAAGACTGAAGGTGGAGGCCAGCTCGCAAGCCAAGGCAGCTACTGGCATTGTGATGTGTGAAAGAACAAAGCAGTGCTGGTGACCTTCACAGGGCCGGAGCCTTTGAGGCCCCTGGGTCTCCAGCCTCTCCCTGGCCGACAAGGGATCTGAGTGAACATCTGCAGAGCAACCTGAGGAGGAGCCAGGGAATGATGAGGTGGCCTACCGAGTAATACTTTGGTTTTGCCTGTAAGCCAGTGTTCACAGGAAAGGTTGAGAGGCTGGAGTGCAGGAGGGAAGTGCCAGCCGCAGCTTCCTGTGGATTGCCATCGCCCCTGGGAAAGTCCAGTGACTGTGTTTAGGATGATCTGTTGGCCACAGGCTGGGTGCTTTCTGGTAATTGGTAATTAAAACTCTTCGTTGCTGAGGAAGACTCTTATCCCCCTTCCTCAATATTAACTGCTGGTACTAGCTTTCCTTTTTGTTTTATTCTGAAAAAAAGGATAATATCTTTATTATAGAAGACATTTTTTTGTTTTAAAGCACTCTGTATGTGCTCTGTGACACCAGTTAGGAAGTAGGGAAAAACATAAATTCAGAAAGTATTACAATCACGAAAAAAAAGTTGTATCTTACTAAGAATTAATAAATGCAAAGTGAAAAAAGGCATTGCACCTTACCCATCACATTTGCCAGAATTTAAATGCGAACAGAATGAAAGGCCAGCCCTAACTTAACACCCTGGTTGGTGTAAGGGAGCAGGCTTGTTCCCGGGGGCTGTGCCGTGTTCAGTCAGCCCCTGTACGGTGAGCGACCCTGTGCACAGGGACTGTTGATCGCCTAGGGGAAAGCAGTTTGACCAAGTGTCAGGAAATGTTTATCCACCTGTCTCAGCAGGCCCCTGCTAACAGTCTGCTTGCGGACGCACTGCACTCTCAGCTCAGGGAAAGAGTTGCTATAGGCAGACACCAAAGTCCCTATTCACAGAAGCAATATGGGCCAGGGATTTAGCGCAGTGGTTCCCCCTATGTCTCACAAGCACAAGGTGCAAGGTCCCGAGGTCTATCCCTGGTACCAAACAGAGAAGCAAAATTCTGGAGCTGACCTTTACACTCAGCGACAGAGACCTGATACCAGCAGGGTATTTTGCAGTTAAGCTTTAACATCTTGACATTGAGGATTTTGAACCTCTTAAGTGGTGTTTAAGGGCATCTGTTTGTCAAAAGATGGGACTTATGAATTAGTGTTGAATGGGGAAAAACAGGGTAGAAAATTCTAGTTTAATGTAGTTTCATTAAAACTGCAAAGAAGAGGCTGCATAGCAGGTAAGCAAGATGATCAGGAGACAATGTCCTGCCAGTTATGTGGTGGTAGCTGTTTTTCTCTTTTCATTTTGGGACATTATCTAGGGTTTGAAACAAGTATCTTATTTCTCTAATAAAAAGCACCTTTTTTTTTGAGACAGTGTCTCACTATGTAGTCCAGGCTGGCCTTGAACTCATGATTCTTCTGCCTTAGCCTCCGAAGTGCTGGGATTACATGCATGCGCCACCATGCCCTGCCCTCAGAAGTCATTTTAATTCATTTTGAGGAGATGGCCCTTGGTGGTGACTTTCAGTTGTGTTTGAAACGGTATTGTGCGGAGGCCTGGCTTTACCTTGCAGCCACATAGGCATGTGTTGCTGGGAAGTGGTAGGCATTGTTTTTGAAGCAAGCAGAAAATCCCACCTGCCCAGAGTTTGTGGGGGGCTTGGGTTGCTCCCTTCTTAGAGAGTGGCACCCTGACTGCCTCTGCATCTGTCCCCTTGGTTCCCAGCTGGTGGGTCAGAGCCTCAGGAGGGCAGTTCTGACAGTCTTAGGCACAGCTGCATTTACTTAAGACCTGACCAGCTTGGGATCTGCTGCCATTACGCAGGCTGGAGCGGCTTCTCTTTTGGCCCATACCTTGGTAAGAGTCTCATTTTGTTACCTGTGTTATTAAATGGTACGTTTTTCAGAATTCTGTGCAGATTATTCCCTTCTCAATGGCAAACATCTGTCCTGACCAAAATCTAGATAGGACCGAAGGAAGACCACATCTCCCAGTTAGCAGTAGTTGTTACATTTTTAAAGGGTTGTAAAGAAATACCCACAAAGAAAAGTATGCCACAAAGCCTAAAATATTTACTAGTAGGCTCTAAAATGTTTGTGGTTCTCTGCTCTAAAATCAAGAAAAACTAAGCCAGGCCTAGTGACACAGACCTATGATCCCAGCATCTGGGAAGCTGAGGCAGGAGGATCACAAATTTGAGCCCAGCTTGAACAATTTGGTAACTTAGCAAGATCCTGTCTCAAATAAAAATAATAAAATGTAAATGGAAGATGTAGCTCTGTGTAAAGACCCTGAGTTCAACCCTCAGTATCACCCCCAGCCCCTAAAAAATAGCTTGCAAAATAAAAACTGTGTAATGCCACTTGGTGGGCCAGAGGCTGGAGACCCTTTGCACTCGGATTTGGAAGACACATGGCCTTTGTTCTGTGTGTATGGCTAATGACCTTGGACAAGTCACGTAATCTCTGAGTTTTCTTTTTCTCTGTCCTGTCCCCACCTCTTTCCTTCCTTTACAGGGTATGTATGGCTATGATTTGTCTCGGTCTTCCTTATGTACTGCTGAATTATAAAGTGATTTTACAGCCTTTAAGGAACTACAGAAATAGATCTTGATATTTATTAGTGTTTCCAGATTGCCCAGAGGCAAATGCTGCTGTGGACGAACATTCTGTGAAACAAATTCAGCAGAAGCAACCTGGTATTCAAAGACTGTGCTTATTAATTTTTTTTTTTTTTTTTTTTTTTTTTTTTTTTTTTTC